TAAATAAAAGCAGAGAGTTATGTATAAGTATATACGCAGCTTTTAAAGCTTTCCCCTCTTTAAGGGTTGCCTAAAACTGAGTAGAGAGTCACAGAGATTTCATTTCCATTACAAAATTATAAACAATAATTTAAAAATACCAGAGTTTGTGTTTTCAAATCGCAAAATTTCCACTATACTTCCTTCAGAACAAAGTGAGTTTTAGACTAGAAACATTCTCTTTTTATTTAATTCTGTTTTTCATTCTTAATCGAGTTTTTTGTGTCATTGCCCACTGCAGATTGTTGTGAACAGCTTGAAAATGTGCTTTGACTTACTCCAGGGATATAGAAGATAAAACTAAGTTTGCCATTAAAAAAATAATTATAACAATTTGAAGCTGTTTTGATCTTAAAGATTTTACCTGAGTGACTCTTAAAATCTCCAGCTGAAATCTGTAAGGGAGGCAGTGAAGAAAGGAAATCTGGTGACTAAGCAAATATCTTGGCATCAACAGGCAGCTGCATCAATGAGAAATCAACTTTGCTAAAGCTAATGAAGCATCTCTCTTGCACTCTAAGGGTCTAAAATCAGATTTTAAAGACAACTTGCAGTTTACATTCAAATTGCCCTATAGGTAACAAACTGAAAAACATCCTGAAAACCCAGCTGGAGGTATTTCTATGTCTCACCAGATGTTTATCTGCCCAAGTACTTGCCCAAGTAAAACATGGTAATGCTCAGGGCATGTAAAAATATTCCATTAGTCAATTTAATCCAGCTGTCTTGCAAATTCTCTTTAGTTACAGATATTCCTTTATAAATCATGTTGGTATCATCTTGAACACCTGTTTTACCCCAACTGGCAGATTTAATTGAGAGAATTTATGGGATGGTCAATGCTGGGTCTCACATATAGGTAGCAGCAAAGTAGGGCATTTTTGTATTAATCCCAAGATTTCTCTTGCAGATCTTCGCACAAAATCCCAGGACAAAACTGGTACAATTGCTCACAAGAAGCAATTAAATGCAATTTCATTTTCTGTGGCATTTATTTTCTTGCACCTTGGCAGGTCCTTGAAGGGTCTGGGACAGTTTGGTCGTACCAGCAGGGGTTTTTAGGGCCACAGTTCCAATGAGAACAGGACACATCCATCTTCCTCCATCACCAAGGCTACTCAAGCTTCACATCTAAAGCCTCATCTTAGTTATGGTGTCTCAGAGTTTTCCTTCATCACCAGCATAGCAGAGTCCAGTTTTTCTGTCTGTTTTAAAGTAACCATTTATTTTTTAAGTGGCACTGTAAAGTCAACTTCAGCCTGCATGGGATGTATTGTTTGCATACTGCTCATAAGGTTTTATATTTGGTAAAAGTTAATAACAGCAAAGTGGATTAAAAACAAAAGCAGCAGAAACGAGAATTCCCTAAGTGTGGTGTTTGTTTCTATAATTCACAATTTGTTGTACAGGACATCAAGTCTCTTATTAAGTCAAACTGAATTGTATCTGTTTATTAATTGTACATGTGTTAGATTCAACAGCGATTTCAAGTTCTATAGTTAAATTTGTGTTATAAAACTGGGATGTGTGATACCATTAAAACTGACACTAAATTCCTGTCAGCATGACAGAAAATTTAAAATCTTGTCTAATTTTCATCAACATTGTCCTTACAGTAAATTAGAGTGACGAGGGAAATGCAATCATACGGTTTGATTGCTAGAAGGCTCAGAGTACCTTTTTTTCAATTTTTTTTTTAATAGCTGCATTTGCTGCTAAAAATGTCAATAAATTGCCTTTTTGCTTACAAAATATATCACAGTTTAAAAGCTTAGAATTTGTTCCCTACTGAAAAATTCTTAGTGGCTGTCACAAAGAAATGTTGGAGGCAGGCAGCCAACAAGACTGTTCTAATTCTTTTGTCCCTGTTTCTCAAAATATCAAAATGATGTTACGTGCCTTGTTGTCCCAGATTGTCTGTCTGTGGATTGCAGGGCAGAACAGCTCATTTTATGATAACCCAGAAATGAGAAGCCAAACACTCCCCTTGACTGCCATCCCCACTCTTCTGACAGCAGCTGGGTTGTGCTGCAGTGACAGGGTCTGAGCTGGATGAGCTCTGGAGGAAACGTGGGAAATATTTGCTGCACCTCAGATACTCACAGTGCCCCAAGAGTGCTGAGTATCACCCAGCACCATTAAAGATAAAGTGACTTTATGAGCAGTGGCACAGAATCCTCTGGAAGGGCTGTACCAGAGTGGGTTTCCTCAAGGTCTGACACAGCCCCAGCCAGGTACAACATCACCATGATGTGTTATTTGTGCTCAGTGCAGCCTTCACTGCAGCTACCCCTTCTGTCCTAATGCTGGGGTTTTAAACCAGGTGTTGGCTGTTTCAAGTGTCTTGTGCACCACAGCACACTCCCCAACCACCTGCAGTTACTGAAATGCCATATGTATATTTTATATACATACACATTAATTATCTGGATAGCCAGGCATTGGAACAGGCTGCCCAGGGCACTGCTGGAGCCCCCATGCCTGGAGGGATTTAAAATCTATGTGGATGTGGCACTTGGGCACATGGGCTAGTGGTGGGCTTGGCAGTTCTATGGGAATGCCTGGACTTGCTGATTTTAAAGAGTTTTTCCAACTTAATTCTGTGAATATATCAATCATATATATTGTACTGTATTACACTTTCCTATATATTGCACCCATTTGAAAACAAACAAGGAAAGGCTTTGTACTGCCAGGCTGGATCCCTGGAACACTTCACACCCTTAAATAATTCAGGGTCTCCACTTTCACATCCTCAGAGAGAGGGTTGGGATGTGGGTATCAGTTGCTTCATGTGCTGTGAACAGTGGCAAGCGTGGAGTTCTGACTCAGCCACCCATCAGGGGCTAAGGATTGAGAAATTTGGGCAATCTGCCCCAAAACAAAAGCCTGCTCCATTAGGCACAACTCCTCCATGCAAATTAATAACTTGAAGCCTGGTGACCCAGCACTTCTGACTTAAAGTTGAGATTCCCCAGGCATAAAAGCAACACAGGCAGGATAAAGCCTCAGGCTGTGAGGGAAAGCATAACACAGTTATCTCCTGCAATGCCCTGAGTCAATGTGCTGCAAATGCCAACATCTGCAAGGCTGGTGACTCTTGTGGAGCATGACCACACATTATGTGTTTGAAGGCTTCAAAAGGGAACCAAAATTGAAGTAAAAGTGCCTTAAAAGTGCCATCAGGACCCCCACATTGCCCACCCCTCCCAGAAGCAAACCCATAAACAAGGATCAATAAACAGGCTCATTTTAGAGCAGATTAAGTCACTGCAAAGTATTTTTCAACCAAATTACCAACCATGTTTTTAAAGACTTCAAAGGACCCAGTTAATTATTCCCTATCTCCTATTACCCCTTCTTCCATCAAATCTCTTTTTAAGTGAGACATCCCTCCCTTTGGCCAAAGGGTCTTGGAAGTGGCTCTGGAGATCCCTCTCCTGCCTGTCCAAATCTTTTTTATGTTCCTGGACTGAAAGTGCAGCTTGTTCTACTCTGCTTTCTTCCAACACTCATCTGAATGTTAAATTTGCTTGCTGTGAGGAGCCTGCTGATTCCAATATTCCTTATTCGCAAATCTTTTTTATGTTCCTGGACTGAAAGTGCAGCTTGTTCTACTCTGCTTTCATCTGAATGTTAAATTTGCCCACTGTGAGGAGCCTGCTGATTCCAATGTTCCTTATTCCAGGGACACAGATGCATTTCCCCATCTCTGCTCTGCTGTTCCCCATTGATGTGAAGGGGGTGTCACTTTCCTCACTTCCTAAGTATTGGAAAACAAATTCCCATGTGGCAGTGGTTGCTGAAGCACCACAATGATGGCACAAGTGCTGCAGCTCGCTTGATTCCCCGTTATTATGTGCCCAAGGAGCAGCTTATCAGGGAGGATGCAGCCAGAAGAATGGGAAACAGGGACCTCCCGTGGCTTTAAACTGAGACATGAATGTAGCACACAGGAAAGCATCCTTCTCAAAGTGCCTCTCTCTGACTGGCACAGACAACGCAGGAGGGGATGTAAATGGAATTAAGTAACTGCATCCAAAGCCGGAGCTGCTTTGATGCATGAAACAAGGCAGAATTTCAAAGACCATTCACACATTTAGTGGCAGGTGTGTGTTGCTGCTGCTTATTAGAAAAGTCCCCAGCTGCTTTCTGTGAATTCAGCTCGGGGAGGCGGCGCGTTCCAGTTCCAATCTGCATTCTGGGACAGGTAGCAGAGACCAATTAATCATGAGAACTCCCTCGGATGGTCTCACCTTCTTTTGTCTTTGAACAGCACGAGGGAAAATAAAAATGGGTCATCAGCGCCTTAGCAAGAGGCTACAACATCCTTGCCTTGAGAGATGTTACACTTCCAGCACAGATGTGAGGTGCAGGGAGCAGCAAGGAGCTGCTCAGTGCCAGAGCGCTTCATCCGTGGGTAGGCATTGTTTGTCTGCAAGGCAGCACCAAAACACTGTTTTATAGCAAGGACATTGGAGAAAAGGGGATTTGGGAATCAAGGTGAAGGCCAAGTGCCACACAGGATGTGCTTCCAGGCAAGGAGCAACAAGTAGATGAGAAAAGCAGGTCTGTGGATAAAGCAGACAAAAAAGAGGTAGAAATGGAAGAAAGGTGTCCCACAAGGCATAGAACTACATTATCCTTCACTTGGTTTACACAAAGAGAGTGAGGAGGGGCTGCACACAAATCCAAGGGGGAGGAGAGACAAAGAAATGACAACTCAAGTTCTGACTTAGCAGAAATCGGCCAAAGTGTGCAGCTGGAACAAAAACAAGAACAGAAGGAAGAGATTCCTTGGGACTGACAGAACAGGATGAAACCTGTGTTACATTTATTTGAGAGAGCAAGAAGAATAGGAAAAGGAAAAAAAGAAAACCAACCAGACAGCTCTACAAGCATGATTTGAATAATAAAAATAGCAGGAGTAGCAGGAGATAGTTGGCATGGATCACTTAGCAAATTATAGCTAAATTGCAGCATGGATTTACCCACAGAGAGCTGGCCTAACAAATCTCCCACTGCCTCACTGAGGAAGCAGCAATAACAGGAGAGGTTTGGCAGAGAGAAGATCTGCAGGTATAATTACATGGCTTGCAGGAAACATTGTTATTTACATACATATTTATATCTATATGTGTATAAAACCAGCTGGAAATGAAACATCAACAGGGGAGCAACTACCACAATCAAACTCCAGGCAGTGCAATAGCAAAGAACAGGAATAAATTAAAAGATTTTACATTACAGGACAGGAGTAAAGGGTCTTGAATCACAAGGCATATTCTGCACTATTCCAAGGAAAACAGTTGGGAATGTGTGTGGGCAAGAACCGCAAGAGAGGAGATGTTTTGTGTTTCCCACCAAACACTGGGAAAAAAAAAAAAAAAAAAGAAAAGAAAATTAGGTTTTGAGCAGATAACATTTGGATTTGGAGCCTTAAATTTCAAGGCTGAAAGTCTGTGATGAATTATCCTGACTTCATACACGAGGCAGTGCCAAGGAATCTCACCCAGTAATTCCTGTCTGAACAACCACATATCCAGGAAAAATACTTAGTCTCAATTTAAAAACTTCAACAAATTCACTGTGTCCATAGGTTAATTGTTCTGATAGTTAATTACTCTCAGCCAGTCTGAAACATACCCTGAACTACTCTGTCTCCAGTTCCCAAACTCTGGGGTTTGGTGCATTTTGCTTAATTTCTCTCTGCTATCCTTTCCCCAAAAGTTCTACAGCTTTTCTCCAAGTTCCCTTACCTTGGAGCAGGTCGGGCTTTTTTAGTTTCTCATTATTCATGATGATTTTGAGATTCCAAATCATTCCTGGAGTATTTTTTTTTCCTAATCTTTCCAAGTTTCTTTTTTTTTTTTTTTCTCTCCACATAAGGCAGACACAATTTACTGGCCAATGCCAAATCATTCCTGGAGTATTTTTTTTTCCTAATCTTTCCAAGTTTCTTTTTTTTTTCTCTCTCCACATAAGCCAGACACAATTTACTGGCCAATGCTTAATCACACACAGCGACCTGTGTGTGATTAGGCATTGTGTAAATCTCATTAAAAATAAATACAAATGAAAGCAATTGCATCTTAATATGAACCAGAAGTCTGAATTCTACAATCTGACTTCCAGTAGAGTTAACCCTGATTCAGGCTTTTTTCCTGACTTTTTACACTTAATCAGAGGAGAATCTGGGGCAACTGCACAGCTCTGATTAGAGCCAGGGAAAAAAAATTGGACAACACAGGAGGTTCAACAGAGGATAACTGAGATAATAATGCCTCTAAATGACAGCAAAAGAAGGTTAAACATGCTGTGGAGAAGAGAAAATTAACAGAAGACCTCACTGAAATACCAAATACCCTTAGGGAACAGAAAGGATGAATTTTAGTAGACTGGCAATTTAATAGAGAACTATGCAAGCATGATTAATTAATTAACATCTGTATTAGTTAATGACAACCAAAAGCTCTGTGTTAATGCTGAGCTGTAGGAGGAGGAAAAACAAAAACAGCAGAGAACTTTCTATGTTTTAATGCAGAAGTTTAACAAGTGAGATTGATTTTTGTTATAATAAAAGAGCTCTTTGTTTGGAGAGATATAAGGTTTAGTCTGACTAAACTAGCAGTTAATTAATATAACCATGACACCATTATGATTGATAAATGATGTATAATTGAGTAGACTTTAGCAGGATACCTCTGTAGGAAAGAAAGGTTGCTGCCCACTGTTTTTATTTCAGTTCTATTGACCATGACAAATCCCAGGTCTTTAAATATGATGCCAATCTAATTTTAGCTTTTGGGAATCAGTTTCCAAGTGAGTATCTTGGACAGCAAAGCCAATAGAAATGATTTAGCCACTAATTCTTTTGTGCTTGAGGTTTTTGTTTATTTTTGGAGTGGTTTTTGTTGTTGTTTTTTGGGGGTTTGGGGTTTTTTATTTTGTTTTTTAATCCATGAGATTTCAGCAATTCAATTTAAAAAATTAAAAAATAAGAAAGAAAAATGGCTCAGCTTTCCTGGCAGCAGCCCAGGGTTCTCACAATGAACTCCTGCAGTTTTTGGTTTAGCCTCTTTAAGATTCCTGTGCCTGGGGAATGGCAACAATCTCTCCAGCACTACGAAGTGTCTTTGGAAGCTACTTTTGGACATTTCACTTTTTGCAGGGAGTACCATTTGAAGCAGTGCTCATTTTGAAATGCTTCCCAATTTAAATACAACTCCCACAATAACCTTGACACTGCTTTTGCCAGGGCACAGAAGCCCAGGAGCAGCAGCACCTCACTGCCTTGATGTTTTGCTGGGACAGAGCGCAGAAAGTCACAATGAAAAGAATTAGAAGCAAATGCCAAAAGTGCATTGCCCCGACAATAAAATCATGATGAAACTGTTACTGTGACACCCATTTTTAGCTCTATTTACAGCAGAATTCCCTTGCATAGATACAGCTCACTAATAAAACCAGGGAGAAAGCTTTTCTTATGGACATTTGACAATTCCTCCCAGTAAAATCTCTGACATCTGTTAAGAAGCCTTCAGTCCAGGTTCATAAAGCACAAAATAAATCCTCACTAAACACACAGTCCAGGTTGAATTTTGTTCCCTTCCTCAGGCTACCCTCCTGCTGCAGTCAAAGCTTTCTTGGAGGAGACTGTAAAGATTTAAGGCAAGAACAATTTTTTAGTGCAAAAAGTAGAAATTTGGCTCATTTATTGCACCTTTTGTGTGTAACTGTGACATCCTCTGGCAGGTAGTGGGGAGGAAAACTCCCCACTCAATAAACTGCAGTGTCCCAGAGCTCTGAATTTATGTAAGTTCTTGTTCCAACAAACTTTACCAACATATTTGCCCAGCGTGAGCCTCAGAGTGATATTTGCCTAAAAAATAGTTTTGAGAGAGGAAAAGAAGTAATTCAAAGCAAGAAATAAAGGCAGAGGTGTTTACTGCTATTCCTCCTTTTTCTAATAGGACTGAAAGCAGCACTGGTCAAAGTTACTTTACACTTGTAAAAGAGGCAAAGCAATGACAGATGAGGAAAAAAATTAGACTGGAATAGATCTTTGGAGTTCATGTTCCTCATGTTCCTCAAGTAAAGGGTTTTGTTGAGGAATTGCTCCTTAATCTTCCTAAAGACTGAGACAAGGCTGATTGACCGTGGTTCCCATCCTCCTTTTTCCTGTCATATTCGTTAATTCACGAGAATTTATTGTAAAAAGTTGTAAAACCATCAGGTGAATGATGCAAGAGTGCTGGTCCAAGCCTAGAGAAAGAGGTATTACTGAATTTTGGCCACAGATGAGAACTCCTGTTCCTCAGCACACACCACATCCCCTCTCCTGATGCCGAAGCTCCACAAAACAAGAGGGCAATGCAATAAAATCCTGCCAATGGAAGGGGCAGCCAACACCCCCCTGGTCTCCCACTTTGCTTGGCATCAGCTGTGATGGTTGCCAGGACCATTCACGAGACAATTCCACTCACTAACCCATCTGGAAGCTAATTAGTCATCGTGGAACAAAAGCAGCCCTTTTGTTTGGCCAGGGCAGGCAGAAGGAATGGCAGCAGAAGTGCTGAAGGGGGAGGAAAAGCCCCTGCCCTGCTGATGGCAGCAAGCCAACAGTTCAGCTTGGAAGTCTGGGAAACTGCAGCCTCAAAACCTTTAGGATCCTAAAATAGTTCTCTAAAGCAAATGTTAGCCCAAAGAGCTATTGTTTTAAGCACAGAAAAATAATCTTTTAAATAATTTTGAAGTGGTCAGATGAGGGAACTTTAATCCTTCTCTAGCTGCTGATGAAAATGAATGATGCATCCATTCCAACCTGCTTTTCAGACGTGAACCACAGGGCTAGAGAGGAGCTGGTTTGTCAAGCTGATGCACAAAACTCTGCTGTCAGGAATGGCACTTAAATATTAACTAGCAGCCTTCCTACCGTGAGCACATCCAGAGCAGAGGAGAGATGGTTTATTTATCCTGCATGGAATTTGAAGTAAAACTTCATCCAAACGAAATCACGTCCATGGTGCCATCTGGGTTTGTTCCAGAAGGATTATCATTCTGGATTGTTTTATTCTGGGGAAAAAGCTCAGTGAGGATTGTGACTTTGAGACTGCAGCATGTAGAGACTTCAGGAGGTGATGTACTTGTGTTATAAACTGCATTTCTTTGTGAGAGATTTTTATTTCTCCAAGAGCCATTTCCCAGACTTCAGAAACAGGTCTCTGTTTCTGAAATAAAAAATCTGTAATTTCACTATTCATTATTTTTTTCCCTAAACTGATCCCTGCTCTTCACAAACTCCCCACTCAGCCTCTGTACGTTCTCCCAGTGATATCAGCTGTTGTCTAGGAAACCCATCTTTGTGTTCTCCGAGCATCCCGGCCCGACAAGGAAAGAAATCCCTTTGCATCCCTGGGTCACATCACGTTAATTCAGCAGCTCTGGGGGAGAGCCAAACAGCTGATTTAGGGAGCAACCTGCACAGCAAAATGCTCTTTACAGGACAGCCAGAGTGAAGGAGCTTCCAGAAGGAAATCCTTCCTGACCATCCCCAAGAGAGGCTGGCTGGACAGGGAATTGCCCACATTCAAGCTGATCTCTCATCTTGGGCATTTCACAGAGCAGTGGAAGCCAGGACTGGCTGAAATTCTTATCTGATTTAATTAGAGGCTTCCAAGCCTTTTAAGAGCATTGTTTTTTCTGGGCCAGATAGGAAATCAATTAAGAGTAAATCTGCTAAATTCACAGCCTGATCGTGAACAGCTCTCTAGAAAACTGCTCAGTATCAGCATCAACTTCAGTGAAACCATGTGTTACTTCTTGGCAAAGAAGGGTTATTTGCCAACAGCTTTTTTCTTTATTTTTTTCTTTTTTCTTTTTTTTTTTTTTTTGCTGCAGGGCTGCAACAATGAAGCAATCTAAGGTTTGTACATATGTACAAACACACACACAATGTACAGAAGACACAGCTGGAAGAAGCCATGAGGAATAATCTTGCTACTCCCATCTCAAGGAACAATCAGCTTTGGTTCTGTCTCAGACTGCTCTAAAAAATGCCCTTTAGGATGGGTGCTCTGTGAGGACCAAAAGTGAGAAGACACCCATAGATTGTGTAAAAGCAAAAGGGAGAGTGTTCCTTCTGTCCCAAAAGAGCACAGATATCTAAAAAAACATGGCAACAGAGAGCAGGAATGAATGGATTTCAAATAATTCCTTTTAGCACAAGTAGATTATTTGTTGTCTATACCTACTGACACCGTCTCCGTGACTTTTTAATGATTTACCACACTCCTGGTCCCTTGCTCCAGGGAAAGCAAGCCTGCATTAAAATGATAATAACAAAAACAGCCCTAATCCTGGTGATTTATAGTCTCTTTCTGAGCTGTGCAAATGATCCACTGTCCTCAGAATATTAAAGCTATTTGCCATTCAGACCCAGATCCGATTTTCACAGAGGACCTCTCCCATTAATTGAAGGTTAGATCAATATCACTATTTGTAGTGTGTTTGAAATACATGCCAGGAGACATTTCCATATTAAAATTCAACAACATATTACACTGACAAACTCGTTCTTGCCTGAGGCCAACCTTAAACAGGAGCTATTTTACCCTGTTAATCTCATTCTCCTCCACAGCAGCTCCTCACCTCGCTGGGCTCGTCTTCCACCTTCACAAATTTAACTCACCTCAAAGCTTGCACCTTTCATTGTTTGTTGTCACCACGTTACAGTTCTGGTCTTCTTTGTGTTCTTTGTCTTCTTTCTTCTGTGTCTTCTGGAATGTCCTGCTAAACCAGCACAGAGGGATGTGGAATTTGGGTGGTTTTCACTGCTCTGTGCTTTTGCACCCTGGTCAGTGTGATGGAGACTCGGCCACACTGTCACGCTCTAGACAAGGCTCAGCACCTCTGCCCAGCTTTTCTGCCTGTAGATTGGCAGAGAAATCAAGAGCTTTACAAAAAATGAATGCAGGCAAAACAGAATTTTAGCATTTTAGAGTTACAGCAACAGCTGGTCAATTAAGTGGGACCCAAATCTTGCTCCCACCTTGCCCTTCACTGCAGCCAGCCACGTGTCTCAGCCAGCAGCATGGGGGCAGACAGCCTGGATGACCTCAGGGGCCTCTTCTATCCCTGTTAAGAAGGGAAGTGCACTGGGAGTGGAATCAGAAATGTGAATGCTGCCCACTAGAACCTTTTTTAATTGTCTCAAGAGTATTTTCCACTCCTCTTGTTGGATGGGAATGCACAATCAGGAGGCCCAGGTAATGAGATCTGCAGGCTTTGCTTTTTACATGAAATGCTCATCAGGATCATCCATTATTAACCTCTGCAGCAAAAGATCACCAGGCCCTTTTCCTCTTTCATTAAAAGTTTGCCAGAATGAAAAAGGGGTCAGTTTATCCCAAGCATGGTGTCCTCAGTGACCTCAAGAAGTTTTCCTCAAAGGTGATTTGTTTTCACCACTATATATTTTTCTCTCTTCCCTCCCTATTCTGCACACGTGAGGTAAAGCAAATGTCATTTCTTCTTTGAAGCTCCAATTAACATGACCAACAACCATTTTAATGAATGGTTAATGATTAGTTTCAGGATTTTCCATTTCTATTTTGCATCTCAAAAACACTGCTGCTTTTTAAAAAACATATTTTCTTGTATCTGGAGATTCTTAAAATGTCAGTAAGGCCCTATCAGCAAGGCCCTAACAGAGAGTTCGCTATGTTTTTCCAAGAAAATTTCATCACAGTTGGAACATCTAACTTGGAAGCAAAAATGGAGGGAAACCTCCCTTTTACCAGGAAAACATCCCTGATGGGAAATGCAGAATTGAATTGCAGAGTCAGAGGAGACTGAAGGCTCAGCAATCACTTCCAAAACTCCCATTTAAAATCTCAGTGTCAAATACTCAGTGGATTTAATAAATTGCATCCACAGAAGCCACTGCACCTGGGCTGGTTTATATGTAAGGGAACCTTCATGTGGATGCATGCTTTCCTCTACAATTTACTCCTAAGAAAAGAAGGTGTTTCCCTTTAGAACAAAAAAAAAAAAGTGTGAGTGGGAATGCCTGCTTCTTCTTGTATTGGATAGATTTTTCTTTCATTTAGAAAGAATAACATTCAAATGATGATGACTATTTTTCCTTGTTAAAGCAATTCTGAGAATTAATGGAAGCTTATTACCAAATAAAAAAAGAAGCAACCGTGGAAGTAACAAAATAGTTTGTATAAAACACAAATTAAACTTTGAAAACCTAAAGAACATCCTTCATTAATACTGAAACAAGGGCAAGTAAATTCTTGGCAAATTTAATGGAATTTTGCTTTCATCCTGTGGGGACTGCAAATGTAATTTGGCTGCAGAGACATGAGGACCAGGGTTGTTGCTCTTGACCATCACACCTACAAGAAGTCGAGATTGAAATGTAACTAATGATGCTCAGGCAGGTGATTAGGCCAGCTAATAGTGCTGTTCCTACATGTAAGGTGATTTATTAGCAACCTGAGCAGTCATACAAACTGAAACCAGAATAATAAAGTAAAATTCACTCAGAGGCTGAGGAAAATATGATTTCCATTTGCTTGAGAAGACATGGATACTGGGAATTTGAGCTGACTGCTGTTCAAAAGCAGGAATGAAGGTAAAATCAACCTCTCTCACTTTAGGTAGCTAGAGCAGAACTTTGAAAAACCCCTTTTTGACAGATTTGCAGCTTTTACCATTAAGAGACCATTTGAATAAGGAAAAATCACCTTAAGATGGAACTGGCAGCAATAAAAATGTTAAAAAATCACCTTGATCTTCACAGTACTTGGAGGCAAACTGTCCTCTCCTTCTGCATATGATCCCAAATCCCAGGATACACACAGTGGTTCCTCCAGAGAGGACACTTTTCCCACAGAGATCCTCATGGAAGTCAATATCACATTCCACAATACCATTTTAAGTGGTTTCATGGATACCTGTGGATTCCAGCCCTGAGTGGAAAGAAGTTTCAACACATTATTTCTCTCTTCATCCCCTTCTTTTTCCTACTGTTAAAATGAGATGAAGCCTCACTAGCCCAAGCTGCCTCCCTGAAAAAACTCCAGGAAAAAGACAGCTGTGTGAGGCTAGGAGAGCAAGGACAAGGACAGCACCTTCCACTCACCTCCTCTGGAACCTCAGCATGGTAATTATACAAGCAAAATACTCCTGGGCATCAGCACCATTCATTGCCAATGGTGAATTCCTTCCCCTGTCCATCAGGAAGCTCCATGCCCTTTTCAAGAGAGGAGGAGGAGGCTGCAGTTGCTGTTTCCAAATCCAATGCCACATAACATGAAGTCCATGTTTTCCACTCAAAATGAGTAAGGCATTTCTGATACCAAGCCTGCACACAAACAGTTGGATTTTAGACACATTGCTGGCACATGGAATGTCTCCAAAAGGATTTGGAAGGAAGAGTTGGAAAAACTTTAGGGTCTGCATTAACACAAACTGAAGGGACAGCCAATTTGGGTTGTTTTTTTTTTTAATGAATACTGACAGTTACTACTCCTGGGTCCCCTCCTGAACTGTGGTTCTTCTGTGAACACCATGTCATGCTTTCTTTGGGATTTCATTTAAAAGAAAAATCACCCAAGCCAGTGGATACCTTTCCATTAATCCAGGCCAGGTTTTTACTGACAATATTAGTTGGAGATGATACCCTAGGATAAATTCTTTTACACTGATGGCAGGGCTGCAACAATGCAGCAATCTAATGTTTACACATATACACAAACACACACACACAAACTCCAGTACTGAATTTCAGAAGTTAATGCCTTCACCACTAAAGTCAACTTTTAATGAAAACTATGCTTTCAAATAAAGAACACGTAAATTACCAATAATTCATAATTATTGTAATGAATTTAATGCCATCAGTAATAAACAACAAGCCTTGAAACCCAGATTTATCACTGCATGTAATGATGGAGAAGCAGCCCCAGACACGTCTCCTGCAGGAGCTCTACCTCCTCTTTGTTGGAAACTGGGCTGTTCTGATGGTCTGGTGGTGGTTTTTATCTCCCAGCTGTATTCCCTCCCAGTCACTCCTGCTGTCAAGCTCACAATTTAATTAATTTATTTACACTGTTGCTAGATGGATGCATAATCTTCCAATTAAATATACACCAAAAGTGGGCACCAAGGGAAGTGCAGAGCCACATCTCCTTTTCCCTAGGTGATTCTATACCTATATTCTGCATTTAAATCACACTTACTTCTATCCCTGGATAAATTTACCATGTGGACTTTTGGCCCAAAGCCATAAGTTTTTCAAATACAGCCTGAGTAATGTATTTTTTATTACATTACTTTCAGTAAGTAATATATTACATTATATTAAATAATAATATTTAAAATATGTGAAATATATTTCATATAATAAAAATAATTGCTTTTTAAAATTTTTACTCATATTTTTACAGCCATATTAAAATAGACAGAAAGCATGCAAGAGCAAATCTGCCAAACTCACATTTATTCACCAAATTCAACCAAATTCACTGGGTTGGGTGTTTATTCTCTTTTTAGGTCATTTTTTTTTCTGACCTAACACAAAACATCAGGATAGTTTTATGGATAAGTTTCTTTGAAGAATATCCTAAAAACAAGTATTATACCCTAGAAACAAGTATTATTATTCCCCAAAATGAACTTAAATGGAAAAGAGATCCTCTCTAAATTTGAAGCACCTACAGTATCAACATCTGTCCAGAGCTGGAGTTATTAATTAAAATCACCAGCTGTTTGAAACAATTCAATTATATATCAACCTTCTAAGAAAAAGAAATAATCAGATATTTCTTGAACTGGGCTTTGGGATGCCAGGCCATCCTTCATTTGGAGGTTTGGAATACAAATGTAGGGAGAAGTTGAATAAACCAGAAAGCAATTATGTGAAAGTTAAAAAATATATATCCATAAATCAGATGTAAGAAGAAAACTACTGCTACTTCAGACAGGAAAGAAATAAGGGAAGAGAAGGAAACCTCTGTGCTTACATAACTCCCAAAATATGGGTGGTTTCAGCAGTGAGGAAGAGACCTGGACTCATAAAGCAGGAGCCTGCCTAAAAGTGTGGCACTTCCCAAGTTTTCCCTCAAAACCAGGCACGATCAGGCCCTGCACAGCCCACGAAATCTGACCTCATGATAACCAGAATGTTAATGGATAGCGATACTCTAGCAGAACCAAAAGAATGCAGTGCTGATTTTAGAGGTGATGAGAGTTAAATGTGAGCAGCAGGCACACTGGCAAAGAGAAATTACCGAGGAGGAAATATCCCAAATTATCCCAGCATTTCTATTAAACATTTACGTTGTCACCAGTGCCAGAAAACGCTGGGTCCCCACGCCTTCCCTCCCATCCACTGTCAGCTCCTGGGAACAAATGCCCAGGGATGGACAATGGCCTGTGCTCTTTTCCAGCTGGAATATTGTGAATTGAAGCACAGGAGAGCAGGAATGCTCCATTGCACGGCTGCCTGTGCTCCTCCTCCATTCCCACGGCCGCCCATGCATCCCACACTATCATTGCTGTCATTGGCAATGAAGGGATGGGATATTTTCAGGTTAAGAACGATTTATTCTTCAGATAAATCAGTCTTAGAGGCTGAGAGACTTTAAAGGAGGAAGCCATCAGCTATAGCTCAAGAGTAGTCACAAGTTTCTTGGTTATAAAGCAATATATAATTTTCTAACTTAACAGACCGTTGTTACAGGGTTGATTTTGTTTTTCTATCACCTTTTCTTCCTTTGGTGCACTGTGGATACTTTTGTCTAATGGGCTTCTGTCTCACATCACACATATACTTTTGTTACAACTTGTAAACCCTTAGCTTATTCTACACAACCACATCCCTACATTATAAACCCTTCACCATTTTATCAATACAGTTTCTTACTTACTTAAGGCATATTCTTACAACCATAGAAATATAAGTTTACAATTTTTCTGCTTAATGTTTGTGTATTGTATTTTTACATCAATCTAAGTTTCTCCCAGGGCTGCAAATGAAACTCTTCAGTGTCTGTGGAAGTTCCTATTTTTCTGATTCCCACACTGCACCATTCCCACTCCTGCTCCCCCTCACACACCCAGTCTCAGCCTTTGGGGACCCTCCTTTTGTACCCTGTGGATGGCTGGGCACTGCACTGCTGTGCTTTTGTCCCATTTTTGGCACGTTACCCAGGAATTCTCTTGTTTCCTCCACATCCTGGTGCTTTCAGGAGTAGGATTTCCAAGCACTGGGAAGGAATTTGCGGCTTGAATCAAAATCACACAAGGATCCACAATCACCCTTTTTGTCTTATTTGGAGTAAACACAACAGTTATCAACTCTGTTTCTTGTCCCTTCCCTACCAGTCTGGGCTAGGGAGCCACTTCCACAAGTAATTCCTCCATCCAAGAGACAAAAAGAAGGAAAGCTTAAGCTGCAAGAGCCCATTCAGTACCTGACCATTGTTTGAGTTACAGCACTGCCTGAGGCCTCCACCAAGTTACACCCTAAAAATAATCCCACTACAGGAAAGCACATCCCACCTTTTTAACCTTCCTTAATTCCTTCTTCTCAGTTTCCGAGGGGCTGCTCTTGCATCCAGCATTCCGCAGAGAAGGAACAGGCACTGGTGTGTGCTGTGCGCAGGATGATCGCCAGATGCAGATGAGGGAACACAAAATATGGCCCTACAATTCGATTTTTTATTTTTTTTTTCCCTACAGGAAAATGTTATTCCTTGCTGAATGCAGACAGCAGGAAAACTCTGATGTAGAAAAAAGACGGGATGTAGTTAGAAAAGTGTGCTTGCAGCAAGCAGGGAGAGAATGAAATCCAAGTACTGTGCTTCCATCTAGAGGAGTAAGTGGGCAATTTATTTATTTCCAAATATCAACTGAGGAACTCCCACTGCTCCTGGATTTGTTCATTGGGAACAGCTTGGGTCCATGGATATGGCACAGGAGCTGAGTTCAGATACCTGGATTATAACTGCACCTCATCCTAGCGAGCAGAGTACAGAGCAACCCCAGCCCTGTATTTCTCTTTCAGTAGCATTTTCTACAGGAAAACAGCACCAGGAGCATTTCCCTGTGGAGCTTCCCCCCAAACATTACAGTCTTTCCCACATACAGAGCCAGATACTTTCCAAAGAGACCAGGACACTTGGGATATTTAAGATATTTAGCAGCTTCTCCTGCAAGCACACCTTGTTGCCTGCACCTGGGACATCTTGGAACTGGCATTTCCCCCAGAGCTCATTGCACAATGCCAAGGAAGTGGTGCTGGACGGGGAATAAAGATGCCTTCTGACCACCCAGACATGAAATGCTAACTTTTGGCAACAGAAAAACATGCTTCAGGAAAAAAAAATAATAAAAGCCCTCCTCTCAAAGGATCAGTATAGGGATAGGAAGCCCCAGTCTGTCCTTTCTTCTGGAAGTGAGTGAAAATGCCACCTGAGATGTGGGCATCACCCATCCTCTTGCTCATGCAGGTCAGTTCTAAGGAGAGAAAATGACCCTCTCCCCTGCACTTCACAGGCTTTGTTCCCAATTTCAGTAATTTAATATTTCTCCAATTCACCTCTGATGAATTGCAACCTGTATTTTTTTTAAACTTTAGCTTCTATCACTGTCAAATGTTTTGCCTCAGTAGGAACTTCATGACTGCCAAGTATGTGTAAATATAAAAACAAATAAAACACCCACCTTTCCCACATCATCCCAGTTAATGATGATTCCACATTCATTGGGATGTTCCAGTGTCAGGATCACTCTTTTACTTTGTGCTTCATTCCCTACATTGCTGTATTTTTGACCCATTCCAACCATAACACCCTGAAAAGCACTAATTATTCTAATATTAGTGCAGTTTGTCAGGAACATCATGGACAAAATACCATTTTTAACTCAAAACTTCCTGTTCCTGCTCCTGCCCTCACAGAATGCACCCCCAAAACATGCAAGGAACTAAAATGAGAATTTGTGGGTAACTACTTTGCAATAATTCCATCCATAAACCCTCCAGAAATACCAAGGCAGCTTCAAAAATGAAGTGCTGCTTCTGCTCACACAGGAGCCCAGCCGAGGTGAGCATCAGCAAACTCATGGCTCTCCACAAGGAATGGGTCCTCTGTCATTGCACAAAGGAATAAATGGAAGGAATTAGAGGTGGAAAAGATACCATTTCTCTAGATTCACTTATTTGGTTGCTCTCTAAGTAGTTCCATTATTCTGCCTTTTAACAGTGAGGTTCCCCCTTGGTGTAAGTCAAATGGTTTTGAAAAACTCATTAATATAAAGGGGAGACAGATCATCTAAAAGAAAAATCACTTATTAAATACTGATTTTACTAAGTTTATCACATTTGCATAAGGAAGTCTGTCATGATTGCCCCAGATAATATCACAAGATATGAGGTAAAATGTTATTTATCACACAGAACTTCAGGGGAGTTTTGACACCCCAGAAAAATCAAAATG